CAGCAATCATGATAATGATGATGACGATAGTGAAGATTTCAATAATCATCCGATGTTTTTAAAATTCAAGGAACAAATTATTAGCACTATAAGAAAGGTGGAAGACAAAATGCTTAAAATGGAATCACTCATTGGTGACACTGGCAAGCAAATTAGTGAAGTTGTTACTGCACAACAAGCGCTTAAATGTGATAAAGCGCATCTGGTCCCAACTAGTACGAAAAAGAAAAATCAACAATCTGTTTCTGGTGCAGAAGTTAAAGCAGCGAAAAAACGCTGTAAAAGTGACTCTGAATCAAGTGAAGATGAAGATGAACTAGCAAATAAATCCGTTCTTCAATCACAACAATTTCAGAAATCTGATCAAAATATCCAAAGCATTGTTGCACAACAAAAACAAATACAAGAAAACCACAAGGAAACTAAATCCTTACTTTCATCACTTTACAACATGTTAGCTGGCGGCCCTTCAGCTTCATCATTATTGGGGGATAATGATGAAGTTTTTGATGATTCTGTCGTATAATTATTTTTAATGATGAACAATAATATAATATCTCCCTCTAGTTCGACTTCTCAACAACAAAAAAATTTCCCCCAAATAGAAAATAATAATCCATTAATTACAAAAAATTCTTTAAAAAATTAGATGTGTATAAGAGACAGTTTTTTAATTACAAAAACGTCAAGCCTGACGTTTTTTAACTAAAAAAGTCATTTTTTTGATTTTTTAATTACAAAAACGTCAAGCCTGACATTTTTTAACTAAAAAAGTCATTTTTTTGTTTTTTTTAATTACAAAAACGTCAAGTCTGACATTTTTAATAAAAAAATCAATTTTTTTTATATTTAATTATAAAAACGTTTGATGACCCGACCCAAAATTTTCGAGTCAATCTGACAGTATAATGATTATAACTCACTAATAATTACCAAGTTACTCTAGTTTAATAAACAATTCATTTTTGAACATTTTTTAAAAAAACTAATGTATAAGAAATGTATACGGAAAAAATTAATCATGCGGAATGTATACGGAATTTTTAAACTTAATATTTTTAGAAGATAATTTTACAAAAATCCCGTATCATAACACGAGATCACATGATTGTTTATTGTTTTGTTATGATACGTTTTTTGTTTTTTATATAAACCCTTTGATCTTTCGATCTACCTTTCTGTCTTTCCTTTCCTTTCTCTTTCTCTTGTCTTATTTTTGTTATTTTTTCTAAATTTTTTTTCTTTCTTCGTCACCCCCTTTTAAAAATAATTTTTTTTTTTCGTACCTCACTTTAAAAAAATTTTTTTTCGTCACTCTCCTTTGAAAAAAAATTTTTTTTCGTCACTCCCTTAAAAAAAAATTTTTTCTTTTATTCCTACTCCTGTCTCTTATACACATCTAGATGTGTATAAGAGACAGAAAAAATAATGCAAGTATATAATCTAATTTTAAAAAATTTGTTCATTTTATACGGTAAAAAGAAAAATCAGTATTATTAAAAACTGAATAAGCTATAAATCACACATTGACATTTTTGTTAATATTCATTGTAAATTTTATTTCCCTTTTCTTCTTTTTTCTTTGATCCTTAACAGAATGGTCGTTGGTTCTAAATTTAAATAATTTGAAAGATTAAAATATATTCGGTTAAAAATATATTATACATATAAATATAATTACTATGAACAATAAATAATTATATGTAACAGTATGAATGAGCCATACCAGGTAATTTTTCATCACCTCTTCGTTAGATAGACGCCAGTTAAAATGACGAAAATTGCTATTTTAATAAAAATGACTAATACTTAATACAAAAATTTTTAATTTATGAAAATTATTATGAAAAATCATACACCACCCAATATCCAATTGCTTATCATTGAATTTAACTCTATGCATTTGAACATTTTCGGTGGTCCATACACCATTTATGAAGATATCCATTCTCTTTTCAGGATCAGAAAGTTTGTAAGTTATATGGTACCATTTGTTTGACAAAAGTCCGTCCCCAACTGTATTAATTCCTACATTATCATTCCAGTTACCCGTGAAACGGGGATGTAATTTGGAATTATTTGCACGTAAGAAAAGTCCAGGCGTGCGTACAAGTCTTTCTCTCTCATTACCACCACCTAAATGCATTTCAAGTGTTGTCAATTTAAACGTAATTTTAAACATAAAAAAAAAAAATAATCTAATAAACGTTCCTACCTTTACGAAAAATAGTGGCCCAATCAGAATAATGACTCTTAAGCTAATAAGCTTTATTCGTAGTGTCACTGACAATTCATCATTCACCTCGGGTAATTCAACATGTTGCACTGTGATACATTGTTTTTCTTTTAATTTTAATAGGCTCCGAGATAATTTCATAGAATTCTTTTACAAAAAATTTCTTCATCTTCTTTAATAGAAAACAAACTAATATTAATTTAATTAATATTATAATGTTACAGTAAAATGATTTTGCATATTACCTAATGAAGTTGCTTCCGATTGTTCAAATACAAGATGAGCCTAGGTTTGTGGCACAGCCACCCGAAAAAATTTCTGCATTAAAAGGTTGGCATTACTTAATATAGGTATTCGCAATGCCGATCATTTATAATTCTGCCCGTGCAGTTGTTACAAATAAAATTTTCGATATGACTTTAACATAATAATGTAATAAACGAGTTTTTACAAGTCTACTTTTGTAGAGAAAAATACGGAAATGGTTAGCGATACGGTATCATTAAAATTCAGCATACAATAGGTTTTCAAACTGCTTTTTGTAATTTTTTGAATATAACAATCGTCATTAGAGACGGAATTACATAATGTACTTTGCATTACTGATGACGTTAATGTAATTATTGTCTTTATTACCTTAAAATTCACGAGTTTTTTCATTATGTCTGCAATAAATTTTTATAATTTATTAAAAGGTAAAACATCGACCATAAATTATCATATTTTATTATGGACAATTGAATAATGAGAAAACAAAAATATAAGTTCTTGCCAAATAGTTTTCATTGTATAAATAAGACCTATTTAAAACATTTTGGATGCTATACTCAGCTATAGAATGCACTATTTATATGAATATCTTGTGTGTATACATGACCATAATGATCACATGATGTGCGGTATACTTCCGATTTTAAATTCCCACACTAGAAAATAATTCTCTTTGGTTACAAAAAGATATCATCATGGTTATACTG